CATTAGTTGAGAAAACTCAACTCATGTGAGGTAAAATCCACCACGACGGAGGCACAAGGCAAAATTTGATAAAGGCACATGAGTTTCGAAAATCCGACCTACGTGAAGAGAAATCTATCATGGAGAAGGCACAAGGCAAAATTTGTCTGAGGCATATGCGTCAAGAAAACCTGACTTGTGTGAAGAGAAATCTGTTATGACAGAGGCATAAGACATAATGTGCCCGAAGTGCGTAAATTGAAAAAACCCAACCCATATGAAAAGAAATCTGACACGATGGAGGCATAAGGCAAAATGTGCCTGAGACATGTGAGTTAGAATAACCTAACTTGCATGAAAAGAAATATGTCATGGTGGAGGCACGATGCAAAATGTGCCCAAGGCATGTGAGTCGAGAAAACCCAACCCACATAAAGAGAAATCTCTCATAAAGGAGGCACAATGTAAAATATGCCCGAGGCACGTGAGTCATGAAAACCCAACCTACATGAGAAGAAATCTACCATTGCGGAGGCACAAGGCAAAATATGCCTAAGGTGCATGAGTTGAGAAATCCGAACTAGCATTAAGAAAAATCCATCACAGTAGAGGATGAGGCAAAATATGTTCAAGGCACATGAGTCGAAAAAACTAGACCCACGTGAGAACAAATCCACTATGATGGAGGCACAATGCAAAATATGCCTGAGATACATGAGTCTGGAAAACCAGACTCACATGAGGAGAAATCTACTATGATAGAAGCATAAAGCAAAATATGTTCATGTGAGTTGAGAAAATCCGACCTACATAAAGAAAAATCCGTAACGACAAAAGCACAAGGAAAAATGTGTTTGGGGTGCATAAGTCGAGAAAACCTGACCCGTTCGAAGAGAAATCTACTATGGTATAGGCACGAGGTAAAATGCGCTTGAAGTATGTGAGATGTGAAAACCTAACCCGCATGCAAAAACCTAACATATGTGAGAAGAAATCTACCACAACGGAAGCACAAAGCTAAATGTGCCTAAGATGTATGAGTCATGAAAGCCCAAACCACATACGAAGAAATTCGTCATAACTGAGGTATATGGTAAAATATGTTCAAGATACGTGAGTTAGGAATATTTAACCCTTGTGAGAATAAATCCGCAACGGTGGAGGCATAAAGCAAAATACGTCTGAGCTCATGAGTCAATAAAACTTGACCCCTGTGAGAAGAAATCAACTACAATGAAGGCATAAGGTAAAATGTGCTCAAGTTATATGAGTTGGAAAAATCCAACCTGTGTGAAGAAAAATCTATCACAATATAAGTGTATGGTAAAATATATCTAAGACATGTGAGTCAGGAAAACCCTGACCTGAGTGAGGAGAAATCTGCAACTATGGAATCACAAGGAAAAATATGCTCAAAGTGCATGAGTTGAGAAAACCTGACCTATATGAATAGAAATCCACCATGATGAAGGTTTGAGGCAAAATGTGCCCGAGTCATCTGAGTCAAGAAAACTTAACCCATGTGAAGAGAAATCTATCATGGTGGAGGCACGAGACAAAACATGTCTGAGGCACATGAGTCAGGAAAACCCAACCCATATGAGGAAAAATCTAAATTAGTACAGGCACAATGCAAAATATGCTTGAGGCATAAGTCGGAAAAACCTGACCCTCATAAAGAGAAATCGACCACGACAAAAAAATAAGGCAAATTATGCCCGAAGCATATGAGCTTGAAAAAACTCAACCTATGTAAAGGAAAATCAACTATAGCAAAGATATAAGACAAAATATGCATAAGGTGTGGACGTTGAGAGGGCTAACTCTCGCCTTTCTCTGAGGTATGGAGGATAAGAAGACCGGTCCTCACCTCCATCCAAAGCATAGAGCTCGTGAAGGGACAAGGAGGTCAAAAAACCCACTCCGCCCAACCAACGTGCACCTTTGATGCCATGAGGGATAGTCGATAATGGATCACCACCAACATCGCTTGGGAGGCAATCCCGAATGCACTTATGTTGGATAAATTAAACGCTACACATTGAACCCCTCTCACAAGAGTCTTGAAGCATGCCATAAGGGGGGGGAGAGGGGGTTGTGCAAATGATAAGGACTATACCATCAACTAATCATCATCTGACATATAGCTACCATGTGGAGTCATCAATGAGAGAAAAATATCCAAGTCACCTTCCACTTGGACACCTGCATGGACAAGAGTTCAAAGCATATCCAAGGCAGACAATTCGAGGTTATCCCCCCTGGTCGCCCACGTAGAGAAGAGACCAAGAAGGGATCGTTGGGAGTGATAAGAGGCTGCAATCCCACAGAATATTTTATAAAATATTCTGTCTCTTTGTGACCAAGTAAGCTCGTCTTCAACAAGATGAGAGGGGGTTTAATTCTTTCGACCACTTGCATCCGTATTCACGCATTAATACACCTCATAATATTAACTTGGACGTTCGAGAGATCGGGTCGAAAAATTTCTTCCAACCTCGATCATCATACAGAAGGCACATCGAGAGCTTGATGTGTCCACATTGGATGCATCTCGAACAACCCTATGCATACGAGTCCGGACACATACGTCAACGATATATATATATATATATATATATATATATATATATATATATATATATATATATATATATATATATATATATTTATATTTATATTTATATTTCACGAGATTAGCTATTGAATACACTTGGAAGTTATAAAAATGTTTCGACTGATGAACTTTCACGTATGCAACCCAGAATCTCAATTTCTACAGGCACACAACTACAAGAATTACCCAACAGTTCCCAAAGCTTTTGATCGAAACGAGGAACACATCCAATGCACTGCCTCAATCTTATGAACACAACAAGAAAACCACCACTGTGCACTGTAACAACATACCCAAGATCAAGAACGCTTGCAACCAACAGCAGTCCATTCATGTCTCCACCAATACCCCAAATCAAGAAGTGCAGATCCCTAGAGAGGGTACATCAAGGGGATCTCAAGTTCTACAGGCACAGAACAAGAACAGAGATCCAGTTACGAAAGCCAGCAGTTATTCGACACCAAGGACAGTTCATCTGTCAGCCGAAACACCGAATCAAGAAGGCGGAAAAGAGAGGATTCAAGTGCTCGTCGGACCACCAGCCTCACCGCCACCAGATGCACCGCCCCCTTCTGTCCCCTGTTGCCGCTGAACCTCCCAGGCCAGCTTCCTCATCGTGGAGCAGTAACCAAAGAGCAGCGCGTCCAGATCGGTCAAAATACGAATGATCGTCTCCATTACCTTCTCGTCTTTGTCTTCTTCCGCCAATCCGTAGAGCAAATTGGTCGCCGAGAATATAGTCGGGACACAGTGGCGTCGGAAGAGCATCTCCTGCTTCAGCGAATGTGGGATATCCAGTGTCATGTTGCGCATGGCCTCTGCAGCAGCCGAAACATCATCCACCAGCCGCTGAGTGCTGGCGGAGCCGGGCTGCTCCTCCGTCTTCGAGCCGCTGCCGCAGTTCTTCTTGGGAGCCATGGAGCAGAGCGAGAGAGACAGAGAGGGAGAGAGAGAGAGAGAGAATGGGAAATGGGAGGCTAATTAGGTTGACCAAATATAATTAAATCCAACCCTTTGTAATTTATATGGACAATAGCTACATATTTCAACCTACCAAAACATAAATGAGATGTTTACTTAGTTACTTGCGTTTGAAGCCAAACTCGATTCTGATACATACATTTGTTTCGAACTGAACCCGCACCCAATTGTGAACTCGATTTATGGTACCATTACAAAAAAGAATTCCAAAAAATAATAATAAACCAAAAATTATAAACAACTTAAAATTACAATTTTTGATATATATTTCTCCCCAAAAATTAGAAATATAAAATCATATTTTAAATATATAAAAATGTTAAACCAAGATATCTATTAATAGTCTCTCTCTGTTGTGTGCGTGCGAGCAGTCTTTTCTCTCTTGGCTTCCCATGGCACCCAAGAAGAATAAGAACAGCGGCCACCGCTCCAAGTCCAAGCAGCAGCGCGGCTCCTCCAGCACCGCCGTCCCATCGCCGCCCTCCGAACCTTTGGAGATCCTCGCTGAAGCCGCCTCCTCCGATGCTCCGTCCATTCCCTCAACCCAACCACCGCCCTCTCAAGAACAACCCCTCTCTTCCACCACCCGTCCCGGCGCAACTCCCGCATGCCCCCCGGTCGCATCCTTCGGCCTCCACTCTCTCTCCGACGAAGACCGAGTCACCATCCAGTACTCCTTCTACATGGCCGGAGGCGCTTCCGCCGCTGCAGACCTCCTCGAGATGTCGAAGCTCGAGGATCGAAGCCTGGTCTGGCTTGAGCAGGGCCTGCGCATCATGAGTTCCACCTTCCCATATTTGACGTTGATGGTCAAAACCCTAAACGGTTTGTGGGACAAGAGAGAGGTCGAGGTGATGATGAGTACGATCATCCGTGCTTTGGAGGACATGGCGATCATTCTCGATGGTTACTCCATGATGACGAAGGTGATGGTGAAGAAGCTCAACCAGGGCCGCGGCGGTTCCTGCAGCCATGGCATAGAAGAAGGCGGCAGTTCATCTGGCGGCGATCGTGGAGGCGGCAGCAGTGCAACGGCCACTTGATCGCACATCTCTCTCTCTCTCTCCTCGCTCTCTCGACCTTTTCTTGATGTGGCTGACAGGTGAATCGGGTAATGGGTCTAAGTGTTCTCGATCTTTCTTGGAGCTTTCTTTGGCTCTTTGTTCGTAAAGATTTAGATGTGACGTACATGAAGCTTGAGACTTAATATGCATCTCTGTTCGACTTGCTCGGCTTATATCTCATGATGTTCTCTTACGTGTGAGTACGACACTGATTTGCTTGCTTAACATAACACATGAAGAACCAGAAAAGAACTGAGGATGATCATTATATTGTTAAAGCACCAATTATAAGACCTTATGTGTGCATGTTTCAATTCTGATGACAGGATAAAGAGTATAATAGGATAATAAACACTTATATCCAATATTTTGAAAGCTAGATAAAAGCGTAAATCCAAATTAACAAAATGTTTGATTATAAAAGCAGAATTTACTCTAAGCTCCAAAAGAATTCCGGAACAAAGTACCAATCCTTCAGCTAATACAAAAATACAGAAGGAAAGAGTGCTCGACCTCGAATTCCCCCTCTCCTCCTCCCATGGGGTCATGATCAGAAGGTCTGCTGCTTAAAGCTCGTCGTGTGAATCGTCATCATCACCGCCATCTGCGCCACCTCCGGGTGCTCCACCAGACCTCTGATACACTGCAGAGATGACCGGGTTGCAAACAGCTTCAACCTCCTTGAGCTTTTCCTCGTAATCCTCCTTCTCGGCACTCTGGTTGTCGTCGAGCCACTCCAGGGCGTCCTTCAGTGCTGCCTCTATCTTTTCCTTCTCTTCGGTCTCGATTTTGTCGGCAAGCTTGTCCTTCTCGTTGATGGTGTTCTTCATGTTGTAGACATATGTCTCCAACTGGTTACGAGCGTCGATCTTCTCCTTCACCTTCTTGTCCTCCTCAGCGAACTCCTCTGCCTCCTGAACCATGCGCTCGATCTCTTCCTGGGTGAGGCGACCCTTCTCGTTGGTGATAGTGATCTTCTCCGATTTGCCAGTGCCTTTGTCTTCTGCCTTAACATTCAGAATGCCGTTGGCATCAACCTCGAAAGTAACTTCTATTTGAGGTGTGCCCCTGTTGTGTCATAACAAGAATTTTGAGTTTCCGGCAAGAACTAAGACATCAAGTGTGTAATATGAATGGCGTAAGAAAGGCAAACCTTGGCGCCGGTGCAATGCCAGATAAATCAAACTTCCCAAGCAGTCTGCAATCCTTTGTGAGACTCCTCTCACCCTCGAAGACCTACAGAACAGTGTGTCAAGGAGCAAGAAGAGACGTGCCTGAAATCACGAAAGATAAAGAAATCGGCAGTACCTGGATGGAGACTGTAGTCTGCTGGTCTTGGTAAGTGGTAAAAACCTGAGACTTCTTGGTTGGAATGACAGTGTTCCTTGGGATTAGCTTCGTCATCACCCCACCAACAGTCTCAATCCCGAGTGTAAGAGGTGCCACATCCAAAAGAAGAATGTCTGATTGCAAAGGGAGAATGTAATGAAGTTGACACAGGATAAGAATCAAAATGGGAAAAGTTCAAGGATGATCAACAATGATACCTTTGGTTTCTTCGCCACCTTCTCCGCTCAGAATGCCTCCCTGCACAGCTGCACCATATGCTACAGCCTCATCTGGGTTGACCCCCTTGTTTGGCTCTTTTCCATCGAAGTAATCCTTCAAAAGTTGTTGGACCTTTGGAATCCTAGTGCTCCCACCGACGAGAACGATCTCATCAATCTGGTTCTTCTCCAGCCCAGCATCTTCCATAGCTTTCTTCACAGGCCCCATGGTCTTCCTGAATAGGTCGTTGTTCAACTCCTCGAAACGGGCACGAGTCAGAGGCTCGGAGAAATCCAAGCCTTCGTAGAGTGATTCAATCTCAACACGGACTTGGTGCTGGTTACTCAAGGCTCTCTTGGCACGCTCAGACTCCCTCCTCAACTTCCCAAGAGCACGGTTATCCTTGCTGATGTCCTTTCCATGCTTCTTCTTGATCAATTTAATGAAGTAGTCCATAATTCTGTGATCAAAGTCCTCACCTGTGACCACAAGGGGAAAAAGTATAGAGTTATGAACAATGTGCATTGCATAGTTTAACCAGAGGACCACTGACTCAATTGGGAAGCCATTTCTTGGTAATCTCAAATGCTTAACATATCACTCAGTCTTTTCACAACACGAAAATGACTATTTGGCGAGGAAAAGATGATTATGTCAACAAACTACTGCTAAATTCTAGCTTTCAAGTTCCATAATGAATTTGCAGCCCTATCAAAGATCACTATATATGTCCGATTTCAAAGAGTATAATCTAGCAAATACTAAAAGTTCAATTGCAATCATTTCCTACAGACAGTTCATGTGAATGCCAACAGTTTTCATTATCTGCTTGACTTGAAGTTGTGCTATCTATATTGACCTTGCAGATAGAAACAAGTTGTTCAGAGACAAACAAGTACCTCCCAGATGAGTGTCACCATTTGTGGCCAGAACTTCAAAAACTCCATTGTCAATTGTCAAGATGCTAACATCAAATGTTCCACCACCAAGATCGAAAACAAGGATGTTCTTCTCACCACCCTTCTTGTCCATGCCATATGCTATAGCAGCAGCTGTTGGTTCATTGATTATTCTAGCCACATTCAATCCTGCTATTATGCCGGCATCCTTGGTTGCCTGTCTTTGAGCATCATTGAAATAAGCTGGAGCAGCAAATGGATGAAAAATAAGAATCCTCCCAGGGATAAAAACTTAAAATTCAACACAAGAAGGGAAACTATCATAGAATTCTTTATACCCGGAACAGTCACCACTGCATCCTTAATTTTCTTTCCGAGGAAAGCCTCTGCTGTCTCCTTCATCTTTGTCAGAACCATTGCACTGATTTCCTCAGGACTGAAAACTTTAACCTCCCCATCCTTGATCTTGACTTGGATATAAGGTTTGCCATCTTTGTTAATGATTTTGTATGGGACAAGTTTCATGTCCCTTTGGACTTCTTTGTCCTCAAATCTGCAGAACACAAATTTTTAAGCATCTAATAACATAAACCTGTTGGGATTACAGAAAGGATCCCAGGATAAACAATAATTACGAAAACAAACTCACTTTCTTCCGATAAGTCTTTTAACATCAAAAATGGTCCTTTCGGCGTTCACAGCTGCCTGATTCTTTGCAGCTTCACCAATTAATCTCTCAGAGTCAGTGAAAGCCACCCAAGAAGGGGTGATACGGTTTCCTTGGTCATTGGCTATGATCTCCACATGACCATTTTTGTAAACACCAACACAAGAGTAGGTGGTGCCAAGATCTATCCCAATAACTGTTCCCAACTTGATGGCCTCTTCTTTTGCAATTGAGAATGCAAACAAAGATCCTGCAGACATATTCAGAAAAATAATAAGACTCTGCCTAACCTAGGGCAACTATTCATGCTTTTCATATAACAGATTTGAGCAACTATGTGATCTAAAAGAAACATTAAACTGACAGACAGCTAAAGGAAAAAGTTCATGATGTTTAAGAAGACAACAGATTTTTCAGACAAAATTCTTTTGATGAAATCAGCAAGCTTCTGCCATAATAAATCCACTTAGTCGTCTACATATTGTTCTTGGAATTTTGGTATGAGACTTAATAGAAGAACTATTGTGTATGATATCTGTGCTTCAATGACCTTCAACGATTGGGCTAGAGAAATGCTGTGTGCGGTATTTCAACACTCCATGTAAGTTTTGACCCAAAAAAAACCAACAACAATAGCCACAAAAGATAAAAAAGTAATAAATCCCATAACTGCACAAATGATTGTCAACACTGATCATCTTATGTACAGTAAAGTAAATACCTATATACTTGCATATGAGGTTGTCAACCAGTATGACATAGCCCCAAGGATCAAAAATTGATCTCACATCAAACAAGGAGTTCGTTTGTCCTCATGGATTTATAGAGGAAGGGATTTTTGCATATACACTATGTACAAACCTGGAAACATGCAGGACTGATCTGACAGAAAAATTCACAAAACTTAATGGCAGAACCCCAAAGGTTCAATAAAGGTAATATTTCCAGCAGCCTATAGCAAGGCAATTTTCAAGATTGCTTTAATCTATTAAAGTGATTACCTTATTGACAAGTAGAAAAGGCACCAATTAGATATCTCAAGTCCACTAACTAGAAGTACCTATAACTCTATAAGGTAGTAGCACCTTTGAACAACCAAATGATACCATCACTCAAGGTAGTCAAAAGGCTTGGGTGATGCCAGACAGTGAACCTTTAGAAGACCTAGAAGGAAGACCTAATCAGGAAGCATTTAGGCATCATGGTTGACTGGGCATCTAGGTGGCTTCCAAGAAAAATATTGCAATCAATAATTGGAGAAATCACCGATATCTGATAAACTGTCGGAGTTTAACAATCATGCAACATAATTCAAATCTATATGGTTTATGGAACCCCACTTGATTTTATCAACAAGAAAATTTTCCATTTTATAAAAGGGGAAGCAGGTCAATATTTCTAAATTCCAGTTCAAATTAATTACAATACTTAAACCTGAGATTGCATAATGAACTGAGAAATAATTTATATTAACTTTAAGTTCATTGGAGAGATTCTCAGACAAAAACCTTTACAGCAAATTGCTGAAAGAGCTAAAACAAGTCAAATCGACAGCAGAATCGATTTGCTTCTACCACCCTAAAAGAAATCATTTCTCTTGGTGCCCGCACCTAAAACTTATGTCAACCAAATTAGCGATATACTAAGCAAGGAACATAAATTAATGATGAGATAGATGTTCAATTCATAACAAACCATTATAACCGGAACATGTCTTTCTTCTAACATTACCCCGATTATCTGAAACAGCTCAAGCAATCATCATACAATTTCAAGCATTAGGAGAAAAATCCAATGCGAAAGAATCTATCACACATTTCAGAGAAGGAAGAAATTTTAACTTTGTTGCAACCTAAGATCCATAGATCTAAAGGATCAATCATCCGAAACAAATAGAAGATGATACAGTCCACACAAGTAACCTGCTTCCTCGCTGTAGATCTTACTACAGTATGATACATCGAATCGATCTGAGGCTATAAACGAAACAAAGATCAACTCTTCATCACAGATCGAGGCAGACAGATGAAGATCGGAGCAACGAGATCAAATCAAAAGAGAAAGCGAGGCCTTGAGATCAGATCAGAAGAACGTACCAAGCAAGAGACCCAACAGGATCGCGGACCCGCGATTCCGCAACGATCGATCCATCTCCGCTTTCCCTCCAATGTCTCTCAGTCGCTCGCAACCCTCCCCTTGCTTTGTTGCAGTCTCTCCTCGGGTCGAGAGGGATCCGAGTGTTCTTTATACTGGGGTTGGAATCCAAGAGTTAGGGCCATTTGGATCCGTTTCAACGGGAACATGTCATCCGCGCAACGTGGACCAATAGGAACCCTAGTTTTAAACGAACCAACCAATGGGATACAGACATGTCGTTGGAACGATCGTAGCCGCTCGTTCCCAATCTCACGGCCACGAATCCTTTCGTGATCCTAACGTGATGGACCATCCTTGCCATAAGAGTTTCCAATATCTCCCATATATACACGACAATGCTTCTGACTTTGCATTTATGGCCACTACAAGATATTGTAATCATAATGTCAACAATTTCTCTCTCGATTACTTCATACAAGCTTACTATTAGCTTTCGAGATCATCTCATACAAAGTCAATGACAAGAAAAAAAATTAATGAAACCAATCCGTAATTTGAAAAATATATTGATGTCAAATAAGATAATCTGAAAGTTTTGATACAAAGAAACTATTTTAACAAAGAAATGAATTTGTTCATGCATTTAATTTCTGTAGAATTTTTCTTTTTTAAGGAAAAAGTCTATTAAAATCTCAATAATCCACAAAAAGGACATGTTAATGTCATCGCACAAAATAGTAGACAAGCCCGAGGAAAAGCAATCCATCACTCACAAAAAGTCAACTCTTAGACATCCTATCAACAGAGAATCCTGTTGTCTGTTGCCACCACCAAGAAAGATAAGGCTTCAGTGATCATCTTACTCAAATTATAAAGATGCAATAACCTGATAAAGAAAACCAGAATGTCACAAGCATACAGATCCAGCCCTAACCTATGATGGATCTCTACAAGATGAAGCATTAAAAAGTCAGAAATACAGTCGAGAAAGAAAAACAAAAAACCATGTCCCTGCTTCCAATTGCAGTCACTGCACTTTATACAACCTTAATATAGCATAAACGCTATTGCCTATTCAACAACATGCTTAAACAGTCATACTGACACTCCCTCTATGCCTGTCGGCCTTCCGAAGATGGCACAGGAGTTTCTTTTGAATTTGCGGGTGCTGCTTGTTTGGATCCAGCATTGGCACCAGTAGCACCATCTTTAGCTGCAGGAGGTGGTGGTGGAGGGGGTTTCATGTGCGGAGGGGGAGTGTGTTTCAGCTTCAGCAAAATCTGACGCATTCTAGAGAGGTCAGTGGGTTTGCCGGGCTTCGGCCCCTGAATGATGACAACTGATGGCTTCTTATCCTGGTCCTTCTTCCCTCTCTTCTTCTCAATGTTCGCTATCTCACGGGGGATCAGCTCCGCAATTGTTTTCCAGTACTGCTTGTCTGCGTTTGCATGGAAATTCTCCTGGTTGGCCAAGAAAAGCTGCCAACAAATCATAACAGAAGTGGGTTTCTTCAGCAAACTATCAGGAAAAGGTACTTTCTCTCACAAATGTACGATAGATAACATCAATAGAGATACCTTCTCTCTTTCTCTGTTTTGCTTCTTATTTGTCTCACTGTTCAGTTGCCGTTTCTCATAAAAGGCATGCTTGTATTCCTCGGCTTCAACAATAATTTGGTTGCGCAGCTCCTTTTCCTTCCTTTCTTTCTCCTCAAGCAGAATGGCATTTTGGCTGCATGGCATTCGATTGAACAATATTAACACTTTGCTTCAACAAAAATAAAGTGGAACATATATGAAAAAAATCCTGGAAATAAGAGATCCTATTGGCTTATAGTTTCTTTCTTCAGACAGTAATGGAGCTAGCATAAATATTGATCTGCTCTCAATTCAACATTTTTAACCCAGAAAACTTCTCTTTCTCTCAAGAAAACAATAATACATGTTTAAGCTGATTTATAGAAAAACTCAAAAGGAAAAAATATTCCATGTAAAGAAAACACATCAATTATTCAATATTTCAGAGTTCCATAAATTCATAATAGTCTCTTTTTTTCGTTTCCATTGTCAATGATCCCACAATTTCTTTCCATTATCAGAGAAGCTACATGAACAAGTGGCCTGTTTGCACTTCAAGTAAAATATAACAAGTGGCCTGATTTCCATTGGTTCTTGCTGTTTTGACCAATGATACCTCTTGATTGCATGTATATTCAGGCAGGTTTGGTCTATCATAGCTCATCCCAGTCAATTCTTAACCATTTCTGGTAGACCCTTGCACTGATCAAACAAATGTTGTCCTTTTTATTAATTTCAGGTCATCTAGAAAAGAAAATAAGGATCTACGATCTATTTCATCTAATCATTATAATCGAAATCTCTTCAGTTGATGGACTGGTATCATTTGGATTATGCTGTAACATGTGTAACATCTTTCGATAGGAGTTTTCATGTTATAAGTGCATAAAGATAAATGGCTTTGGATTCTTATATGATTTAGGAACCATATTGTAGAACTAATAGATGCGGTTTTCATTTAAGGCCCTAGGTTGTGATAACTCATATTTAGGTGCTTAAGATTATAGGGGTAATTTTTTAAATGTGGCCATAGTATGGCAGGGGTCAAGGTATATGCGGTCGCACATTTTCAAAAATGCATAGTCATACATATGTAAATAAAAAGTACAATTAATTTTTTTTATCATTAATTGTTAAATATATGTTGAGACCAAATAAAAAAAAACGAGGCACTTGTTTAGGAACTTATTTAAATGATAAGTTATAAGAAGTAAATGTCTAATCCATGAATAATATTTTGTTATAGATCATGTATCATAGTTTAAGGTAACAATTTGCCTCTACACAGTTAGGTTTGGCATTGGTTAAGACCAAAATAAGAAATTTCTTTTCTGCCTAGGAAACTTCTTTTCTGCCTAGGAAAATTTGGATCAACTTTAGATCCAAATTTGTGTGTAACTTCATTTACTGAGTAAGGCAGATGCTTTTTTGTTCCAAACAGTTCATAGCTATCCCATAATTTTAGACACACTCCCAAGTGACCAGTAGAATAATCAGCCCCAAAGAAATTCACTCACTGATAAAACAAACTTTCAACTTCTACACATAGTAGATGAAGATAAAGTACATTTAACCTAAATTAAAATGAAAATTCATGATGAAAAAAAAAAATCCTTGATGCATAGTATTAACTATGAAGATTGACATAGAATCAGGCCTGGCTGTGATGTTATCAAAAAGCCTATACACTTTTTCATTTAGATAGGGGGCAAAAAGATTATGGAGATAGCCACAGCAGTATGTCCAATTCCAATTCATCATGAACTAGTCCAATGACATGATCAACGGAAATAGTAAGTTTAATCCACTCATCTTGACAACCATTTCTCCCAAATTCTCTATCTTTTCATGCATTGTCATTTCAAAATTCCAAGAAATCTAATTCGTACAAAACATGACAAAAGAACAATCAGAGCAAATGTAATTTACAGAAGAACCAACTTTAAACATCAAAACACAGTAGATGCAGCAATAGTGATAGATAACATGTCAAAAAGAACACTCATGGACATATCAAGATCTTCCTAAACGCTATGGAGGGAGACAAAGTAGTAACTCCAACTTCAATCCATCATGTGTAAGCCAAAGTAGCAAGTCCAACTTCAATCCATCATGTGTTAGCCAAAGGCACCATGAGAAGGTACGACATAACCGGATTAGGTTAAGAACTCCTTTTTCCCAAAAATAAATGAAAAACTAGTTCCAGTAGTATAGATGATAAATGTTTAAACAAGGAAGTGAATCGATTTTGCTCTCAATCACTTAACATTCATATTACCAACCACTATATACAAACAACTAGGTATCAAGAGAGACCAATAGATATAAGCAATAAGAAGGTCGTTGCTAAACCCAAAGCATTGCAGTAAGCACTCGATTCCGAGCCACAAACCGCGTGAACCTTCATCACCTTCCCCGTCTTCAGGAAATCAACTTGGACATGTGCAATACATCTCGATAAAGCTAATCTTTTCATCATTCTTATGCCAATACTCCAACTCTAATCTATCCATGTAATACAAATCTGGAAGCAACCCTATAGCAACAAGAAAAACCGACACCAAAGACCGCATATACGATTACAACAAGCCAATCCACGATATAGTAGAAAGAAATAGGTCTGTATATAAGCACATCGAATTACAAGGGAGTACTAACCGGCGCCATTCCCGCAGAATAAACCCCTCGTCCGGCTGCATCTCACCGGGCGGAGGCAGGATCGGCCCGTCTGAGGTGAAAGCTCCCCCATCGTCCACCTCCACGTATCCCTGGCCGTTGGAATCCAACATCGAGAAAGGGGCCGGCTCCGAAGTGAACTCCTGGATAGGATCGGCGACATACCCAAAGCCCTCAGGCGAGGGAGGGAATCCGGCGCTGCCGCCGACTTCCACGGTTGTTATGGGATCCTCCTCGATAACCTCGTCGACCTCACCATCGGCGGCGGCGGCGGGGGAGAAGGACGAGAAGGCGTCGAAGCGCTGGGAGGGGAGGCGGGGGTCGTAGCCGACGTAGCCGTCGTCATCGAAGGGGCGGGAGGAACCCTTTGGCGTCGCGTCTTCGCCATCGATGGCGTCGAAAGAGGACGACATCGTCCTCCTCCCACGCTTTGCTCTCTCTCACCGATGATAGGGGGCTGCGATGGAAGCGGCGGAGAAAGGAGGATTCTTATGTAAGAAATTGAATGATACAAGTAAATATTACGCCTGCATCTTACTCGCCGGACTGTGAGGTCGTAACGTGAACCTCGCATGGGGCCCACTGCTAACCATGGTGGGAACCATCGGGGACGTGTTGAATACTTATGTCTGTGAATTCCGTGGTAGGGAATAGGAACCTTGGGCTTCTTCCACGGCCTACGCGATCGGGTCTCTTCGACAATGAAAAGGGTCCCACGTAAGCCACGTCCAGTCACTGAAAAGGTAAGTGGAAGGAGAACTGATTCTCTAGTATGAAAAGTATTGCTCTTAAGCGAAGGGATCATCTCCAGTATACGGATGCATCAACGGGCAATCAGAGTGGCTTAATTGGAAGCATACGTCCACGGCTCTCTGGTAAAGAATGGGACCCAGAGAAGCATCGGTTGTGATTGGAAATTGCAAGATTAGATTAGATAATCGCTTTACAGGGGATCGGCGTACTCTTTGCCTAGTTGGATGACTGATTTGACCATTTTGCCCTCATCTGGTGGAGGAAATTTGGGGAGGGCGGCTTTCGGAAGCCGATTGCTTCGACGCTAAGAAAGGCAGGCGAGGATCCTCTCCAATTAGGCTTTGATTGCAACCGTACAATTCCAACATCAAAGCCGTTCACTTGTGGAGATCGTACGGTACACAAGCTACGTCACAGACAAGTTTCAGAAGGTTTACCCTCGAGTCTACCTGCCCTGTGATTAGCTATAGAAACGTCCTGAAGCGAGTCTCACTGTGACCTCAGCATGGCAGAGAGACGGCAAGTCCGCGGGTTGGTTCGAAATGAGTGCAAGGAGAAAGAAGGATTTACCAATTGCTTGACCGATATGCAGATGTGATCTAATTCAATTAACATAAATAAAAAATAAATTAAAAATATGAAGTGAAGGGATTCTGAAAAATAGAATTGGAAAGCGCAAAAAAAATTTTGGTAATTTTCCAGAAATTTTTTTTCCTTATTAGCATTTTTATCTATTTTTCAAATAATATTTATTATTTTCTAATATATAAAATTATCACTAACCTTTATTGTCTCCATCCTTTGTCACTCATAACGGTCTTAACATCACCTAGTGGTGCATCGATGTTATTGTTGCCATCTGCCCCTATCCGATTTCACCGATGCTTACTATTACTCATTGGACTTATTATCACTCGTTATGATCTTCACATCACTACACCATCATTATTAGAACATTCGTCTTTACTCGACCTCATTGTCATTCACTAGCGACCTTGGCATTGCCTAGTGGCACATCGATGTCATTACTATCAGCGTCTTAGCATCTGACCTAGCCTCCCTCTTTAATTGGTCGATCAATGAATGTTGTGGCAACGACAACAGTAATAACGAGCAAGCATATCCTCTATCAAGATGGATGACACGAATGGTGGAGTGAAGTGAATGGGGGGCGAGGGGTCTTTGTGATGCCTCAAGAGTAGTGGACAAGGATAAGAGTAAGGACACAAATGGTGGAGATGGCCATGTATAAGTGAGGGTAGTAGAGAGAAGATGGTGGGGGCGAAGATTGGCAGGGTAAACGTGGTAGGGATAATATTAGCATCCTCATAAAGGCATGGGAACCAACGATCATTAATGACAGCATGTCTCAACTTCCCTAAATACCTCTTGGTTGACATCTCGACTCATGCCTCTACATAAATGGCTGATAGCAAGCCACCCTCATTAATGCATCCGACGTTCAGAGTAAGGGGGGCCTTGGCTAACACAAGACCAGACCGCTCGACGCTCATGTATAAAAGTCATGCCCTAGACTAAGCTGAGGAGACAAGCAGTAGCCTCTCTACTCTCTCATTTACATAGCTCATACTATTGTCTTCCTCTCTCTCCATCTCTTGCTGACTTAAGCATCGGAGGGATCGAGCTGGGAAGCTCCCAACGTAGACCTATTGTGTAGGACCATCGGCAGCTAGGAGATGACCCTACAACAAGACCCCCATTCCTCTACCCGGCCTCTCCGTTCTAAGACCAGGTCACCCCTAATGAACCTCCCTCGTCAGTCCTCCATGTCAGCACCAAATATTAGCTACGAGGAGACACTTGGAAGAGCCTGCACCTTCGGTAGTGAACCAAGTGGGCCAACTCACTAGTCGACGATATTTGTGACATATTATTTTGGTACTAGAATGAGAGTCGAATATCACAGGAACATCCTTCTACCATTCCTCCTAATGAACCCTCGAGCAGAGAAGGCACGTACACCATTTCAACAAAATGACGCCTCCACTTCGGCCTAGACATTGGGGCCCTACTCGTGCCTGCTCAATGATCCGAGGCTCTCACCCAGGGTTGGAGACAAACCCCTCACTCATCTCATCAAAAGCATTCCTAAGCCTCACTCAGCAAGTCCCAACTCTTACCGGCATGATGCAAACCATCACCCTACTTCTCTTTTAATTGACTTAACTGACAACCATAGCATAACGACTCGCCCTCAAACCATTGACTACACCTCTTCTTCTCAAAGTCCAACCGGGGAGTCCACGCCTCAACTTCCAAGGATCTCTTCGGTCAAGAGGTGCGAGTGACCCCATGCTACACCTTTCAACTAAGGAGCACAGTGTTGCGCCAAGCCATATCAAAGCCCTACTAAATTCTAAGGCTCAATCTAACGACTCCAAGGAACCCTCGATAAAAGCTCAACTCCAAGCTATGAACCGAAGGCTGGACGAGGTCCAACAGAGCCCCGACGAGCTCTCCTAGCATTGCTGAAGCATCAACAACGACCCTCGATGGTTCCTCCACCCCCTTACTATAGCATGTTGCCTTATCCTCGGTAGTGCCCTTCAGGCCTTGGCGAGTCTCCAACCAGCCTCTTTTGCTCGGCCTCAGTGACCCTGCGCCATTGCCTCATCCTCGGTAATGCCCTCCAGGCCTCCGCTTGCCTCTGCCCAACCTCATTTGCTTTGCCTCAATGGCCCTGCACCACCACCTCATCCTCAATAGTGCCCTATGGGCCTCCATGATCCTCCACCCGACCTCCTTTGCTCGGCCTTATGCCCCCGCCTCATCCTCGATAGTGCCCTTTGAACCTCCACGAGCCTTCGCCTAACCTCCTTTTCGTCTCCTCGGTAGCCCTGCGCCATAGCCTCATCCTCAGCAGCACCCTTCGAGCCTCCACGAGCCTCTGCTCGACCTCTTTTGCTCGGCCTCAGCAGCCCTGCACTATCGCCTTGTCCTTAGCAATGCCCTCCAGGCCTCTGCTCGGCTTCATTTGCCTATAGGTGAGCCAACTCTCGTGCTTAAGACAGCCTAGGGACCCATGCCTCAATGGCCCTGTGCCCCCGCCTCGTCCTCAACAACGCTCCCTTAAGCCTTCACTCGACCTCCTTTGCTCATAGCTAAACCAGACCCAAGTCTCAATAACCAACCAAACTCAGGTCTCAATGACCTTGCGCCCCTGTATTGTCCTCAGCAATGCCCTCTAAGCCTCTGATCGACCTCCTTTGCTCATAGTTAAGCTAGACCTAAGCCTCAACGACCCTACATCCCTGCCTCATCCTTCGTAGCACTTCCTAGAGTCGTTGCTCGACCTCCTTTACTCACAAGTGAAGCCAGACCAAGGCCTCAACGGCCCTGTGCCCCCGTCTTATGTTGGGAAACCATCAAGGGAGTATTACATGCACAGTGAAAAAATAAAACAAGATTATTTTTCGAATAAAGAGCATCGGATCGCTAGATGATGACTATGAGCATAAAACTCGAAATTATAAAAATCACACCAAGAGGGTGAGATGTTCTCACCTATAGGAGCTCATATATCTCCTAAAACATATATTCTGGTCCAATAGATTGTTTTTCGAATAAAGAGCATCGGATCGCCAGATGATGACTATGAGCATAAAACTCGAAATTATAAAAATCACACCAAGAGGGTGAGATGTTCTCACCTATAGGAGCTCATATATCTCCTAAAACATATATTATGGTCCAATAGATGAAGGAGTTCTCGCGAACTCCTTTCTAGAGGTAATCCACATGGTGGTCGACAACGGCGACGCACCTCTTCCTTGCTGTAGGTTCTCTACTCGTGACAATGCACCACCTTGCAATAGCAGTAAACAAGAAGGGGCCAATTGTTTTGTTGTCCTTTGACACCCAATGCAAGATAAATTATTATCTTTATAATAATCTACTCAACTCATCGATTATAGATGTACTATGCCACTACACTATACTCCCCTAGGCGGTACAAAAGGATCTAATCCATTAGACCCATCTGCCCCTCAGTTGCTAGTTATAGGAGCCCTACAAGCTAATCATGCGAGTGATGACACATGCGATACGCTGCATAATCTTTTTTTGTTAATATTAATAATAAAATTTTTCACTTTATATTATATAATAAAGTAGCCTAGAACACACACACACACACACATATATATATATATATATATATATATATATATATATATATATATATATATATATATATATATATATATA